GTTTCCTAACCTTCCTGCCCTTAACGCCCCCTCAGGGTAACCAAAGAGAAAACAAGTGAAATTCTTTTTTTTTTTTTTTTTAAGAATTGTTTATTTAATTGTATTTATTGTTATTTTTATTTATTTATTTTGGAGAGGTTTTTGCTATAGGGTGCTTGTGCTTGCCAGAAAGACAGAGACAAACAGAGAGACATAAAGCAAGAAATCACCCTCCAGGGGGGATGGCCACACCGCAATCCCTTCTCCTACATCATCTTCTTGGGATCTTAAGCACACGCATGCGGCCAGTTTGAGTTTAAGCCACCAGGTCCAGGACTCGAACCATGGTCAACTACATGGGAGTTCAGCGACATAGCCGTTACATCGTCTGCTGGTCCCATTATTGTTATTATTTTTAAATTCTATCAGAGAGAGACAGAGGGCAGGAAAGTGAGAAAGCAAACCACCAGGACCAGCAATTGAATTGTGGTTGGCCAAGCGGGAGTCCAGTCCAGCGCCTTAACCACCACTTCACCTGTCAGCCCCTACTATGGTAATTCTCCTATGGTAATGGATAACAATGAGGGTTTGAATGTCTTTCTTTGATTTAGGGGAACTGGAAAATAGAATCACTTTTTAAGACTACATAATAGCTCCCATACAATTTTTTCAACTTAATTTCTAGACTGCTGAGGGATTCTAGTTTCTTTTCTCTTAAAGAACAATTTAATTTATCCATCATCATTACCACTTTTTAATTTGACCAGAGAGAGAAAGGGAAAATGAAAAAGCAAGCTGCCAGGTCTGGTACTTGAACTGAGGTTGTCCAGTGTCCCAACCACCATGCAACCTTCTGGTCCTGGGATCCTCTTTCATTATCTCTTATCTGGACCCCAAATTTAAGTTCAGTAGTCTCCTGCCAGGCCGAGAAATCAACCACCAATGAACGTGGTGGCTGCAGATTCTGCTATAGAAACTGTACCAAATAACTCTTCTGAGATATGACAGGTGTCATGATTGTTACATTATGCAATGACAATACAACAATCTGTATGAAAATATTAAGAGTTGTAACCCATACTTACTTCACCATCTTTGGCAAGCTTTCTACCACACCTCATGCTATTTCCCTCTAGTTCTTCTTTATTGATTTCTTGTGGCCTAAAAACATACACAAGAGATAAATTCATAGAAAACAGGCAACTACTAATCGGAAAAGAACTGTGAGTTAAAGAGAACAGAAAATCTTGCTACTAAAAATGAATTTTTGGGTTGCAGATAAAAATAAGAATGTACTGATTGAATCTAGTCCACTATCTTTGCTAAATGAAAAAGATTTAAAATCTTCTATGATTTACTTACCTCCCTGACTTCTGGATTACTTTAATTAGGGTTCAGTGAAAAGAAAAAAACAAACAAACAAACAAACAAACAAAGCAAACCAAGACGTGTCCCTGGTATTCAAGAGCTCAAGCTAGTAGGGGACTAAATATAATTAACTGCGGTGATGAGGAAAGAGTTGTGATGTAAGAACATGAAGAGGGCAGGACCCACTGCCTGGAGCGGGAAGGGAGATCATTACAGAGTAAATGTCAACTGCACCTGAGAGAGAGCTTGTTGGGATGGAGGTAGGAGGTGAATTCTGTGCATGGGGAAGTGTATTGCAGGAACAAGGAGCAACTGATAAAAAGGGAGCGGCAGGTAATAGAATACCAAATATACAAAAATATTCGTATAGCTGGAGCATAAGAACATAAGAGATGAAGCTAGGGAACCAGCAGTTAGTGTAATGGCTATGTCGCTGGACTCCCACGTAGTCGACCGCGGTTCGTGTCCTGGACCCGGTGGCTTAAAACTCACGCCGGTCGCATGTGCGTGCGTGCCCAAGATCCCGAGAGGAGAATGGAGGAGAAGGGATTGCGGCGTGACCATCCCCCCGGGGGGTGATTTCTCGCTTTCTGTCTCTATGTCTCTCTCTGTCTGTCTGGCGAGCGCATGCGCCCTACAGTGAAAATCTCTCCAAAAAAAAAAAAATAATAATAAAATAAAATAAAAAAGAGATGAAGCTAAAGGCATCTGGGATAGACTGCTGAGGGTCCCCACGAGCCATGCTAAAAAGCTGCAACTTCCCTGTAGACAAGAGTTCACAGGCATTTATTGTTACTTTAAAATTTATTATGAAAAACGGCAAACATAAGAAAATAGAAAAAAAACAGTATGAGCCAAATTTTCTCACCATCTATTATAGCTTCAATAATCTTAAAAAGCAATAATCCCTTAAGTATCACCAAATGTCCCTGGACTTATTTCAGCAGGGAAGTGACATGACTGTATTTCTGTTTTGGAAGATAATCCTCTTGGTAACATAGAAGAGTCTGGACAAGAAGCCACCTGGAGGGAGACCACTGGATTATAACCTAGAATCCAGGGAATACACTGTCTTCCTCACTTTGGAAGCCCTGTATCAATAAATAATGCCAAGTTATCCATAGAGTAGATGATTCCATTAGAGGCAATACAATCATAAAATTCCAAGGAAAGAAAACCAACAGGGACCAGCAAATGGCCTAATGGTTATGTTGCTGGACTCTCACATAGTCGACTGCGGTTTCATTTTGAGTCCAAGACCCGGCAGCTTAAAACTCATGCTGGGCACATGTGCATGCATGCCCAAAATCCCAAGAGAAGGGAGGAGAAAGGTTTGTGAAGTGGTCATCCCCCCCGGGGGTGTGTGTGATTTCTTGTCTTTGTCTCTCTGTGTCTCTCTAGCAAGCACACACACCCTATAGCAAAAAATCTCTCTTAAAAAAAAGAAAGAAAACCAGACAATTATTTTAGCTTGGTCTCTGAGGTGAGACTCTCTGTACTAACCTACTAACCTCAAGAAGGATATAGGAGAGAAGAATCTTGAAAAATAAAGAACATTTGGGGCTGGCAGGTGATGTGGTGGTTAAAAGCCTATATTCCCCACATGGAGAACCACGGTTCAAGTCCCAGACCTGGTGGCTTCCTTTCTCACTTTCCCTCTCTTTCTCTCTCTGGTCAAATTGGAAAATAATCACAAATAAAGTCAAACTAAAACAATTCTTAAAAGAACATTCAAAACTAAAAAACTGAATATATACAAAAAGTAGGATGACATAATACAAAATGCTTTAAATCTGAATTCTATTAACTTGCATTTTTTTTTTTTTGCTTTTGATTTATTTCTGTTTCAACAATCTTACTGTATCTGTGCTGGATAAATATGCTGTGAACATATATTTAAAAGTGGGATTATACATAAAGTAGAAACTAAGAACACTGAATAATATTAGGTCATCAGGAAAATCATAATGATTTTTACTTGGCATTATAACCAGTTTTTTGTTTGTTTGTTTTAATTTGCCCAGAGAGAGACAGAGAGAGAAAGGGAAAGTGGGAAAGCAAGCTGCTAGGTCTGAGACTTGAACTGCAGTAGGCCATGTGCGAGTTCAGCACCTTAACCACCACACCACCTGCCAGCCCCCACAATGAATACATTTAAAAATTCACAGTAAAAGGTTTTTTGTTTTGTTTTGAATTAATAATGATATAATATACTTACCCCACCTCACTATCTTGCTCTGCCCGGAGCATAGCAAGCCACTGCTGTTTATACACTGAAGACAGCCATTCTACAATGTAACAATAAATACACAAATTACAATAAAGACGGAAGAACATAAGTGATTAAATATTTTATGTAGTTACCATGTCTAAATTCAAGTTTAAAGGAGCAATTTAAAAAGTAGGTGGTGGGTCACCAATGGTGGGGCTGAGAGAGAAAAATCCCTGGTAAAAATGGAGGATGAAAATAGGTGAAAGAGGCTCCCTTAGACACAGAATTGTAAATACAGCTTCTATCACTGCCCTGAAAGGCAGGATCACTAAGTAAAGTTTGCCAGAATCCCCTGTGGCTGAGGATTAGTGTAGGATGAAACATTCTGAAAAGGTGTCTTAAAGAAAACTTTGATTCCGTAAAATAAGTTAAAGCAATTCTTTTAAACGTCATCAGGCCAAAGTCCAAAACAGAAACTTCTAAAGGTGGTATACCAGGTCAGTAGCCACAGAAACAGTCTACAGCAGATTTGAATGAAACATAGTATTTTCCCAATAGAATAAATGAATTTGAGGGATTTTATTCAGATTGTTTTTCTTGTCTTATATAAATAATATGGAGAAGGGGGCCCCTTAAACCATATACTGTTTGAAAATCTAGTATCTTACATTTACAATGTTTTTTTTTTTATTTATTTATTTGAGAGTTTTTTTTTCGCTATAGGGTGCGTGCGCTCGCCAGAGAGAGAGAGACAGAGACAGAAAGCGAGAAATCACCCCCCAGGGGGGATGGTCACGCCGCAATCCCTTGTCCTCCATTCTCCTCTCAGGATTTTGGGCACGCATGCACATGCGCCCGGCATGAGTTCTAAGCCACCGGGTCCGGGACGCGAACCGCGGTCGACCACGTGGGAGTCCAGTGACATAGCCACTACGCTAACTGCTGGTTCCGTATATTTACAATCTTGAAAAGGGAAAAGATACCAGTATTGTCCAGTCTTATATTATTTAAGTGAAAGAAAAAGTGCATTTTAAACTAGTAAGGCTTGTCCCAAAAAAATGAAGACTACAGGAACTAGCTGATGGCATAATGGTTGTGTCACCGGACTTCAAGGTAGTCAACTGCTGCTTAAGTCCCAGACCCAGTGACATAAAACTCACACTGAGCGTGCGTGTAAGATTCCAAGAGTAGACTGGAGGAGAAGGGATTGCGCCGTGGCCACCAACTTGGGGGTGGTAGGGGAGGTGATTTCTTGCTTTCTGTCTCTCTGTCTCTCCAGCAAGCACACATACCCTACAGAAAAAAACCTCTCTCAAAAACCCCCCCAAAAAACAAAAACAAAAAAAAAACAAGCTCAACTGTTTTAGTTTTTACTTATTTATTTTTTAAAGATTTAATTTTATTTATTTATTTTAATTTGCTACAAGGCACATACACTGACAAGACAGCCAGCCAGAGATAGAAAGAAAGAAAGCAAATCACCGCAACCAGCAGGTAGTGTAATGGCTATATCGCTGGATTCCGTGTAGTTGACTGTGGTTCGAGTCCTGGACCTGGTGGCTTAAACTCATGCCCAAGATCCCAAGAGGAGAAGGAATTGAGGCATGGCCATCCCCCGTGGGAGGTGACTTCTTACTTTCTGTCTCTCTGTCTCTCTCTGTCTTTCTGGCGAGTGCATACACTCTATAGCAAAAATCTAAAAAAAAAAAAAAAAAAAGAAAGAAAGAAAGAAAGCCAGCCAGCCAGCCACCAGCTCTGGGACTCCAATCCTGTCGGCCAAAATACCTTAACCACTACGCAACCTGCTGGCTGCAAGCTGAGCTGTTTCATAAAACATGTAAGCGAGAGGTGGATGATGAAGGTAAATGACAAAAAGTTTTCTTATTAATATTTCCCACACAGAAAAATGAAAGTATTCTGCACAGAGCATCTGGTAATAAAATATTAATATAAAATTATGAAGAAGCGTGGCTCAAAAATATTCATGTGTAATAACCTAAAAATCTAGTTCTAGAGCTATTTTCTGAATAAAATCAGTTACATGGATTTACGTATCTTTTCATTTTCAGGAGCTTCTTTTCTTTCTTTTTCTTTTTTTGGAGAGGTTTTTGCTATAGGGCGCATGTGCTTGCCAGATAGACAGAGAGAGACATAGAGACAGAAAGCGAGAAATCACCCCCCAGGGGGGATGGTCACGCCGCAATCCCTTCTCCTCCATTCTCCTCTCGGGATCTTGGGCACGCACGCACACGCGCCCAGCAAGGAGCTTACTTTCACAAAACAAGCTGTGAGGTGACTGGGTAGGAAGATGAGCAGAGTGGCAGAGGGTCGGTCTAACTGCTGAAGTGGATGAAACAAATGACAAAAGAGGAATGACCAAGTAAAAGTATTGAGAGCATAAGGATTGCCAAGGTCCCAGCGTAAGTGCACACGTGGGCATCTGCAGTGGCACTAACATGAAGGTTACAGAGTGCTCTGCTGGAATATTTGCCAGAGAGCAGAGGGGACAGGAACAGAGAGGGTTTAATTTAGTGTAGGATTTTGTCACATGGGAGAACACAGAGTTGAAGGCAACTGTGAGAGTGATCTATTATGATCTATAAGGAAATTAAAGCACAATAGGGGAGAAAAGGCGGGAGAGGGTTAGAAGATTGGCAGACAATGGAGGGCTTACCATGGATTGGAAGTCACAGAGAGCAGCAAGAGGGAGGAGGCTAGGAACGTGTTGGGATATGGAATGGCCTGAGAACTCCTGGGTTTCTGATGCTGAGAGCCTCTGGGGTACAACAGGGTCCACGGTGTTCACACTGGCAAGTGCCTCATGCTCAGCAAAGTGCCCCTGGAGTTTAGGGCCAATAACTAAGAGGCACGGGTATTCAATGGCTTGTTCACGTGGACACATGGCATGACTGGATACAGCGAAAGACAGTAACTCCAGTGTCCAAGTCTTACATGAATGCAGAGAAAGGACTGGGAGGAAGGACTGAAGACAGACGGTTAGATCACATGCAACACTGGTTTGGAAAAGGCCTCTTAGTTCTCTATTAGCAGGGTGTTAAGATGGCAGCTTCTTTATAGCTGGAAACTAGAATCTCCTAGGAGAGCTAAATGAATGAAGAGATGGAAGATATTGAGGCTTTGTTGACCCTGGCTCCAGAGCACACAAGAGAAGGGTTTAGAGGAATGGGAACAAGACAGGTTAGAAGTGTCAGAGTGGAGGGAAGTGTGACACTAAGAGTACAGAATAAGACATTTAATGAACTGACCTATGATAAATATGACTCCATGAGGACCAGTAGGTGGCCTGGTGGTTAAGGCACTGAACACTCCCATGTGGCCGACCGCGGTTTGAGTCCCAGTCCTGCTGGCTTCCTTTCTCACTTTCCCTCTCTCTGTGTGTGTGTGTCTCTCTCTGGTCAAAGTAAAATAAATGAAGGAATAAATAAAATTAAAATTAAAAAAATATGACTCTATGAAATAATGGAGCTCACTGAGCTTAAAACAGGCAAATCCTAAAATATACTGCTTCTATACAAAGTCCTAATTTAACTTGAAATTAAACAAAAATATTTGACCCAAAGATAGTAAAATATACATTAAAGACTCCCCAGGTTGCTGACTGCATAACTTGGGTTAATGTTAACACATATTTGGCACTATTTCTGAAAAATAATCAATGAATTTTAGGTTAATCAAAATAATTTCAATTTATTTCACATCTAATATACCTTCCTACTGAGCGTATATACCAATCTAGCTCAAAGTGAGCTAAGTGGCTTTTTGCCTTCTCACAATATAATTTTATTTTATGTTTTTGTTACTGTAATTTGCATATATAGAACAATCTAACCATTTATAGGC